TGGCAGAGAAGCAACTAAAAAAGAAAACTTCAGGCCAATATCCATTGAACATCAATGCAAAAATCTTCAATAAAATACTGACAAACCAAATGCAACAGCACATTAAAAAGCTTATCCATCACAATCAAGTCGGCTTCATCCCAGGGATGCAAGGCTGGTTCAATATATGCAAATCTATAAATGTAATCCATCACATAAATAGAACCAAAGACAAAAACCACGATTATCTCAATAGATACAAAGAAAGCCTTTGACAAAATTCCCTATCACCTGATCACAAATTTAATCTCCAATTCAGCTGCCTATAGACAGAAAACACTCAAGATTTTGTCGTCACTAGGAACAATTTCTCCTCCATGACACTGAACTCTAACAATTACCCTCAGTGACCAAAATCTCCTATCCTTTCACCTCTTGTATTCCCTCTCTCCTTCCTACTTTCTGTTGACTCTCATTTTTATCTCTCAATCTCAACTCCTCCCTGTTCTTAGAAGCTATGAATCCCCTTATGATTTCTTTATCCCCCAACTTAGCATTAATTCCAAGATTAGCCATACTGTCCTTGGAAATTCTGATTCTCTCAAACCCTTGACACTTAGCCATATTTATAGCTCCAACCTCTGGCGATGCTTATCCATAACTACTCTTGCCCTCATATTGTCAATAATGAACTTGTGCTAACCACTATAAAATGGGACCTTTTTCTTCACCTGCAACTATTTTATTTATCGCAATTTAACTATTTGTCACATTCCTTATGTTATGATGCATATTCCATTATTCTCAATTATTGAACATGTACCTCCCTCACCCTCTGAAAAGGACCTCATTGATTACATCACCAAAACAACATAGGTTATCTAAATAAAATTATTGCATATCCTATATCTGTCTTTCAGGGATCTGCAAACTATAGCCAATAACCCACATCCAGCTACTGTCTGCTTTTGTAAATGAAAGTTTTACTGGAATACTATTCATCTATATATTGTCTATGGCTCCTTTTGTGCTACAACAACAGTTGAGTAGTTGTGAAAGACATTATATAACCCACAAATTCTAAACATTTAATATCTGCCCCTTTACAGAAAAAGCTTTCTAATTCATGATCTATTTCATCATCCATTCTTTCTTCCTTTTAACAAAAAAAGAGGTATGTCTGTTCTTCTTTAATATAAACTAGCTGTTTATGCCTTCGATCCCTTTGATCATCTGCTCCTGAACAATACAACATTAATTATCTCATCTATACATTTCTGTAGCTCCTGTATTCCCAATGGATCCTTCAGTCTCCTCTTAATCAACCATCTGATTTTTCTTCTTCCCTTTGCCATCAAAGTTCTGGTGGTAGAAGGTGGCAGAAGCTTTGAATATTATAATATATACATTATTATTATATAATATATATTAATATAATATGTAACAATATAACATTGTATATTAATATGGAATATATCATGTAATATATTAACATGTAATATGATATACAACACATATAATTATAATTATATATATTACATATTCAATGTTTCTATTGCCTGGCCCCATTTCTCTTATTCCATGGAATCTAACTTTTATCTGCTACCAAAACTGTTCTTTCAATACTCACAATAATTAAAATATTTACTCTCTCAATATCTTTTATTAATTAAATATAAAGCCTTGCTTTGTCTGCATTCTTACCCATTATCTCTTCTTTTAACAAGTTATTGCAATTTTATTATCTTTTTAAATAACATGTTTGTTATAAAACATTAGAAAATTCAACTTAGCAGAAAAGATAAAGTCACCCATAATTTCACTACTTTGAGTTAAACAATATAAATATTTGGATGGCATTAGGAGAAATACCTAACGTTGATGATGGGGGGATGGATGCAGCAAACCACCATGCACATGTATACCTATGCAACAAACCTGCACGTTTTGTACATGTACCCCAGAACTTAAAAGTATAATAAAAAATATTTTACTATGATTAAATGTACATTTATTAATAGTAATAAACATCATATTACGCATTTTCTTTTTTATTTACTAATTTATCATGACCATCTTTCTATAAAAATATTTCTATAACTTTTCCTTTTTGAATCTCTGTCCTTGTATCTAAATTCCCTGACTCACTTCCTACTTCACTAATTATCTCTCCTTTAGCTTTTCTGTCATGGCTCACTCCCAAAATCTGTGTTCTTTCAGGATCTGTTCTTAAATTTCTTCTCATATTTGTATTCTCTTCTATAGCCATCTCATTGCTTCAATTATCACCTTCATAACTGCCAAATCAGTATCTCTACCCATAATTTGTATTACAAATTCTATTTTCAAATTTCTACTATCTGTTGGTAATTTTTCTCCAAATTCAATTGTCTAAAGCTGAACTTATTGTCTGCTCATCATAATGAGTATTTTCTGTGATTACCACCTCTGCCAGAGACACAGTCATCTAAATTCACATTTTTAAAATTTTTATTATACTTTAAGTTCTGGGGTACATGTGCAGAACATGCAGGTTTGTTATATAAGCATACACGTGCCATGGTGGCTTGCTGGATCCATCCCCTACCATCTACATTAGGTATTTCTCCTAATGTTTTCCCTCCCTAATCTCCCAACCCATGTTATCCCTCCCCTAACCCCCGCCCCACTCCCCGAAAAGTCCTGATGTGTGACGTTTCCCTCCCTGTGTCCATGTGTTCTCACTGTTCAACACCTACTTATATGTGAGAACATGTGGTGTTTGGTTTTCTGTTCCTGTGTCAGTTTGCTGAGAATGATAGTTTCTAGCTTCATCCATGTCCCTGCAAAGGACAAGAACTGATCTATTTTTATGGCTGCATAGTATTCCATGGTGTATATGTGCCACATTTTCTTTATTCATCTATCATTGATGGGCATCTGGGTTGGTTCCAAGTCTTTGCTATTGTAAACAGTGCCACAATAAACATATATGTGCATGTGTCTTTATAATAGAATGATTTATAATACTTTGGGTATATACCCAGTAATGGAATTGCTGGGTCAAATGGTATTTCTATTTCTAGATCTTTGAGGAATCACCAAACTGTCTTCCACATGGATGAACTAACTTACACTCCCACCAACAATGTAAAAGCATTTCTATTTCTCCACATCCTCTCCAGCATTCCAAATTCACTTTTAAGTCATCCCTGCCTTTTCTTACTTGCTTGCCTATACACACATATATGCACACATGCACACTCAGTGTCAGCATTTAGTTGTGTACATAACAAAATAATGGAAAATTTTGTGTTTTCATTTCAAAATAATTATGGGAAACTATGATTTAGCATTATACAAGCCAAAAAATTTGGAATTTAGGGAATGAAGAAGGGTCCATCTTCCTTCATCAGCTGAAAACTTAAATGAAAATGTTTTACACCTTAGGAACAAATATTTGCTATGATAATAAAGCACTAAGAAAATGCTACATATAATAAAACCCCTATATTTCAACCAGTTCATTCAATTTAATTTCTTATTCTTTTTACTACTTATAATAAGGTAAAGAAATAAAAAGTGATTCTTTTTATTTTTATTTCTCTAGTTTTAAGATACTGTGATAGAAAAAGTCATTGCACAAATCTTCAATTTTAAGCCAAGCATTTATTAGTTTGATATTATATTAAATATGCAAAACTAATAATACCTTCACATTTCTGCTTTAATTATAAATTCTCTATGATACTTAAAAATTCCTATTTTATCAGACTTGTTTTCACAGAGCTGATTTTCAAAAGAAAAGAGTCACATCACATTTAATAACAGATGAACAAGCTCTCGGTAAACTCACAGTTGTTTATGAGGTATTTCAAAGCACATATGCAATTAGAGATAAATTAGCTTTACGTATAGTCAAATTTAAACTGTGTGTTAGATCTCACTAGAAGGGAACACACCAAGAAGCTATCAAATCTTCAGCTCTTCAGAACAGTCACACCTTTTCCCACCTACTCCCCTAACACCTCAAGATATCTAGCATTACTATTGTTAAAGCAAACTAAATATGGCCTGAGAAGGACTCTGTACTCCCATCCCTATGTGTCCTTGTGAACCAACTGCAACCTAACTTAATAGGTAAACAAGACTGAAAACCTAAGGTAGTATGCACCTGTAACAATAGCTGAGTCTTGGCCAATCCCAGCAGCCATACTTCCACCACTCATACTCTGCTGAGTGTTCAAACTGTGTTCAAATAAGGCAAATACCAAACTGTAACCAATCCAGTTGTTTCTGTACCTCACTTCAAATTTCTGTACATCATTTCCCTTTTTTGTCTACAAATTTATTCTGACCAAAAGGCATCCCTGGAGTCTCTCTGAATTTACTGTGATTTTATGGGCTGCCGAATTCGCAAATCATTCATTGCTCAATCACAGTCCTTTAAATTCGGCTGAAGTTTTTCTTTTAACAGAAGGTGTCAGAAGCAGGGGTCCAAAGTAGACCTCTGAACAAGCCCCAGGAGCGCTGAATGAACAGGCAAGGTACCTGCAAGGACTCACTTGTGTCCTTTGGTCCCTCAGACAGAAATGGGACTGGGTCCAGGATGAGATTTTATCCTGTAATTAACAGCCTTGTTTTCACAGAATTTAATCAAGTTAGAGGCCTCTTACATCCGACTGGCTCAGAAAAAAGCTGGTAGTAAATGGTAATATTGTAGGGGTTGTAAAATTTGGCTTTTGAAAATCCACAGGGATTTTTGAGTTCGACCCCTTTGTTTCATTTTCCTTGCATGCTTAGGTAGAAAAAAATTATTTTAAAAATCAACTTAGGAATCATGAGTTCTTTACAAGAAGGTTTTTAAGCAGAGACAACAACCACTTGACAGAGATAATAAATACAGTTCCTTCTACAATATTCATTGAATGACAATTAACTATCAGGCATATTAGATCAAAGAGCATAGTAACCTTGTGATAACAGGATTCAATGATCTTAAAACTGGGGAAAATAAATGCAACAGCCACTTTTCAACTTACCTTTTTTTTCGCCTGCAATACTATTACTTCATATAATCGTGGGATAAATGAGCAATAATTTTGTTGTTGATCTCTCTTTATGTTAACATTTTCATAGTATGATGTCTTTTTCCTTTAGAAAATTCAAACAGAAATTAAGAGTTCTCAATTTGAAATCTAAACGTTTATGTAAGCAAAGAAATTATTTCTACAGCAAGATGTCCCACTTTTAAAGTATGGGATAATAAGATCATCTAGGTGTATTAGTCCAATAAGTTCAAAATTTTGTAAAATGTATTTGTTTTCTTGGTTAGTTATGCTTTTTTCCAATTCAGAACATTATTATAAACCTATTTGAATAATTATTACAAAAAGAAAAGGAGATCTGGTATTTACATCATGAATTGAATAAAAAGCTAACTCTAAAAAAAGTTTCCTTTCTGTTATACACATCCAAAGGAATTAAAATCAATTTTTAAAAGTTTCCTGTGTATTCTATGTACCATTAAATTCCAAATCCCTTGGTATTTCAACTATTACCAAAATAAAAGGAAAACAGCCCTGTGCTATCTATATCAAAAAACAATCAGAAAACGGCATAAAGATCTTTGAAAACAAAAGGGAAACTTCTTTTCATTGAAATTCAGGTAACCTCAAGAAAGAATCAAAAACTAAGTAAGCAGTGAATAAGAGCCCAATCTTGGGAGTTAGACAACCCAATAAGATTCCAGCATTGCTACCTACTGCTTATATAATCTTATGCAAATCACCTAACTTCTCTAAGCTTCAGATTCATCCCTGATGAAACTGGTGATTGGAATCTGGTCACTGGAAATAGTGATAACCAATTCTCAAGGTTGCAATGATTAAAGTAGATAATATACATAAAATAAGGTGGTTAATACCAACAGGGCTCATAATAAGCACACAATAACTGTTAGCTAGTATTATTACAAGAATCACATTTAAACCAGATATACAGACTACACTACCATTTTTTCTATTTCACAAAGAGAATTTCAAAAAAAAAAAAAAAATCTGACACCTAACATTTCCAACAAACTATACAGAACATATGCATATTAAAAAAAATAACACACCCACAGTCAATATCATACTAAATGGGCAAAAACTGGAAGCATTCCCTTTGAAATCTGGCACTAGCCAAGGATGCCCTCTCTCACCACTCCTATTCAATATAGTATTGGAAGTTCTAGCCAGAGCAATCAGGCAAGAAAAAAAAAAAGAAATAAAGGGTATTCAATTAGGAAAGGAGGAAAGCAAATTGTCTCTGTCTGCAGATGACATGACTGTATATTTAAGAAGACCCCATTATCTCAGTCCAAAATCTCCTGAAACTGATAAGCAACTTCAGCAAAGTCTCAGGATACTAAATCAATGTGCAAAAATCACAAGCATTCCTATACACCAATACACACTAAAAGAGAGCCAAATCAAGAATGAACTACCATTCACAATTGCTACAAAGAGAATAAAATACCCGGAATACAACTAACAAAGGATGTAAAGGACCTCTTCAAGAAGAACTACAAACCACTGCTCAACAAAATAACAGGACACAAACAGATGGAGAAACATTCCATGTTCATGGTTAGGAAGAATCAATATCATGAAAATGGCCATACTGCCCAAAGTAATTTACAGATTCAACACTATCCCCATCAAGATACCAATGACCTACTTCACAGAACTGGAAAAAACCACCTTAAACTTCATATGGAACCAAAAGAGTGCCCTCAGAGCCAAGTCAATTCTAACCAAAAAAAAAAAAGTGGGAGGCATCACACTATCAGACTTCAAACTATACTACAAGGCTACAGTAATCAAAACAGCATGGTACTTGCTAACAAAACAGAGATATAGACCAATGGAACAGAACAGAGGCCTCAGAGGCAACACCACACATCTACAACCTTCCAATCTTTGACAAACCTCACAAAAACAAGCAATGGGGAAAGGAGTCCCTATTTAATAAATGGTGTTGGGAAAACTGGCTAGCCATGTGCAGAATGCAGAAACTAGACCCCTTCCTGACACCTTACACTAAAATTAACTCCAGATGGATTAAAGACTTAAATATAAGACCAAACATCATAAAAACCCTGTAAGAAAATCTAGGTAAAACCATTCAGGACCTAGGCATAGGCAGGAACTTAATGACTAAAACACCAAAAGCATTGGCAACAAAAGCCAAAACAGACAAATAGGACCAAATCAAACTCCACAGCTTCTGCACAGCAAAAGAAACAGTCATTAGAGTGAATCAGCAACCAACAGAATGGGGAAAAATTTTTGGAGTCTACCCATCTGACAAATGGTTGATATCTAGAATCTACAAAGAACTAAAACAGATTTACAAGAAAATAACAAACAAGCCCATTTAAAAGTGGGCAAAGGAAATGAACACACACTTTACAAAAGAAGACATACATAAGGCCAACAAATATATGAAAAAACGCTCATCATCACAGATTATTAGGGAAATGCAAATCAAAATGACATTGAGATACCACCTGACGCCCGTTAGAATGGTAATCATTAAAATATCTGGAGACAACAGATGCTGGAAAGGATGTGGAGAAATAGGAACACTTTTACACTGTTAGTGGGAGTGTAAATTAGTTCAACCATTGTGGAAGACAGTGCGGCAATTCCTCAAGGACCTAGACATAGAATTTCATTTGACCCAGCAATCCCATTACTGAGTATATAACCAAAGGATTATAAATCATTCTACTATAAGGACACATGCACACAAATGTTCATTGCAGCACTGTTTACAATAGCAAAGACCGGGAACCAACCCAAATGCCCATCGATGATAGACCGGACAGGGAAAATGTGGCACATGTACACCATGGAATACTATGCAGCCATCAAAAACGATGAGTTCATGTCCTTTGTAGGGACATGGATGAACCTGGAAACCATTATTCTCAGCAAACTGACACAAGAACAGAAAATCAAACACCGCATGTTCTCATTCATGGGCCATTTTGAACAATGAGAACACATGGACACAGGGAGGAGAGCATCACACACTGGGGTCTGTACAGGGGAAACAGGGGAGAGACAGCAGAGGGTGGGGAGTTTGGGAGAGATCACATGGGGAGAAATGCCAGATATAGGTGAAGGGGAGGAAGACAGCACATCACACTGCCATGTGTGTACCTATGCAACAATCTTGCATGTACTTCACATGTACCCCAAAACCTAAAATGCAATTATATATATATATCTATAGATATAGATATAGATATAGATATATATCACCCACAGTCAATATCATACTGAATGGGAAAAAACTGGAAGCATTCCCTTTGAAATCTGGCACTAGCCAAGGATGCCCTCTCTCACCACTCCTATTCAATATAGTATTGGAAGTTCTACCCAGAGCAATAAGGCAAGAAAAAGAAATAAAGGGTATTCAATTAGGAAAGGAGGATGATGGGGTCTTCTAAATATACAATCATGTCATCTGCAAATAGAGAAAATTCAAATTGTCTCTATTTGCAGATGACATGATTGTATATTTAGAAGACCCCATCATCTCAGCCCAAAATCTCCTGAAACTGATAAGCAACTTCAGCAAAGTCTCAGGATACTAAATCAATATGCAAAAATCACAAGCATTCCTATACACCAATAACAGACTTAAAGAGAGCCAAATCAAGAATGAACTACCATTCACAACTGCTACAAAGAGAATAAAATACTTGGGAATACAACTAACGTCTTAGGATGTAAAGGACCTCTTCAAGGAGAACTACAAACCACTGCTCAGCAAAATAAGAGAGGACACAAACAGATGGAGAAACATTCCATGTTCATGGCTAGGAAGAATCAATATCATGAAAATAACCATACTGCCCAAAGTAATTTACAGATTAAATGCTGTCCCCATCATGTTACTAATGACCTTCTTCACTGGAAAAAACCACCTTAAACTTCATATGGAACCAAAAGAGAGCCTGCATAGCCAAGTCACTTCTAAGCAAAAAGACCAAAGCTGTAGGCATCACACTACCTGACTTCAAACTATAGTACAAGGCTGCAGTAATCAAAACAGTAGGTAACAAAACAGAGATATAGACCAAGGGAACAGAACAGAGGCCTCAGAGGCAACACCACACATCTACAACCAACCGATCTTTGACAAACCTCACAAAAACAAGCAATGGGGAAAGGAGTCCCTATTTAATAAATGGTGTTGGGAAAACTGGCTAGCCATGTGCAGAAAGCAGAAACTGGACCCCTTCCTGACACCTTACACTAAAATTAACTCCAGATGGATTAAAGACTTAAATATAAGACCTAACATCATAAAAACCCTAGAAGAAAATCTAGGCAAAACCATTCAGGACATAGGCATAGGCAAGGACTTCATGACTAAAACACCAAAAGCATTGGCAACTAAAGCCAAAATAAACAAATGGGATCTAATTAAATTCCAGAGCTTCTGCACAGCAAAAGAAACAGTCATTAGAGTGAATCGGCAATCAACAGAATGAGAAAATTTTTGCAATCCACCCATCTGACAAAGGGCTAATATCCAGAACCTACAAAGAACTAAAACAGATTTACAAGAAAAAAACAAACAAGCCCATTCAAACATGGGCAAAGGATACGAACAGACACTTTACAAAAGAAGACATATAGGAGGCCAACAAACATATGAAAAAATGCTCATCATCACTGGTCATTAGAGAAATGCAAATCAAAACTACATTGAGATACCATCTCACACCAATTAGAATGGTGATCATTAAAAAATCTGGGGACAACAGATGTTGAAGAGGATGTGGAGAAACAGGAACACTTTTACACTGTTGGTGGGAGTGTAAATTAGTTCAACCATTGTGGAAGACAATGTGGTGATTCCTCAAGGACCTAAATCCATTTGACCCAGCAATCCCATTACTGGGTATATATCCAAAGGATTATAAAGCATTCTATTTTAAGGACACATGCACATGAGTGTTCATGGCAGCACTGTTTACAATAGCAAAGACTTGGAACCAACCCAAATGCCCATCGATGACAGACTGGACAGGGAAAATGTGGCATATATACACCACGGAATACTATGCAGTCATAAAAAATGATGAGTTTGTGTCCTTTCTAGGGACATGGATGAATCTGGAAACCATCATTCTCAGCAAACTGACACAAGAACAGAAAATCAAACACCACATGTTCTCACTCATGGGCCATTTTGACCAATGAGAACACATGGACACAGGGAGGAGAGCATCACACACTGGGGTCTGTGGGGGGGAAACTAGGGGAGGGACGGCGGAGGGTGGGGAGTTGGGGAGGGATAACATGGGGAGAAATGCCAGATATAAGTGATTGGGAGGAAGGCAGCAAACCATACTGCCGTATGTGTACCTATGCAACAATCTTACATGCTCTTCACATGTACCTCAAAACCTAAAATGCAATTATATATATATATATATATATATATATATATATATAAAATTTTATATATATATAATTATATATATATATAAACCCAAAGTTATGTAATTACTTTCTTTGTTCAGTAGTGCTGTGATTTAATATGCACCTACCATCTCACTCACTACTAAATGCTCACTTCCTTACTGATTATTATTTGCTAAAAACTCAACAAATAAAAAGAAAAAAAAAAAAACTCAACAAACTTGCTTTCAATCCTCAAAAAGGTTTATGGATAAGAAATTTATATATGAAATATCAGAAATATCACGTATCATTTAGATCTTTATCTTTCCCAAAAAGAGATCTATATGCTTATCTTTCATTGAAGTGACCAAATATCTCCACTTTCGTACTGAATCAAGACTACCAGAATAATCCTGACTCACTATATAAAACAAAAAGTCCAAAAAAGAAAAAAACAAGTAGAAAATGTCAACTGCCAGAATGAACTAAGACAACTCCAAGTAAAAGATACAGTGAAAGCAGTTAAAGAGCAAACAAATTACTAAAATGATGAAATGACTGAAGCAGTCAGGAACTCAATCTATATTAATACATTTCTTCAAAAAGTTAAAATACAAATGGAAGAAAGGGAAATACAGGAGAAATAACAAATATCAAATAAAGCAACAGCACAATAAATGGGGGGAGAATGAGAGTGGGACAAGGTTGGGGAAGTAAAACAGACTGGTAGGAAAAACCACCAAGCAGAATCTGTCAACACTGCTTAGAGTCCCAATTATACCTGGGGTAGTCAGTCAGAAGTACAGTGAAATGGGTGGAAGACAATCATCACAGAATTATACACATTTTAAAAGATGAATTTTGACTTACATTACTTAAACCTCAATAAAATTGAGAAGAGAGGAAGGAGAGAAGGCAAGAGAGAGACACGGTCAGATGGGGGGAGAGGGGGGAAAGAGAGAGAGAGAGAGCATACACACAAACCAGCCAATCTGGCAGAAGAAGAGGATAGGATTAAAATATTGAAGAACAAAAGCATATGTCAAGAAGACTATAATATATGTTAGAGTATTCTACAGATCTTGTCTTGTTTGGAATAACAATAGTATTATTAAGCAAAGACCTAATTAAGCTAAATAGGTATGTTAACGTTCTAGCATAACTACTAAAAGAATAAAAATACCAAGGTATATATTCCATATTAAGAGGGTAATAAAATGAACAGGATAATGGGTTAGAGTGTAAATTCCCAAAAACAAGGGCCACGTTTTATTCTTGTTAATCTCAGTTATTAAGTTCAGAACTGGCACAAGAGAAGAATTCAAACAGCTGGGCACTGTGGCTCACGCCTGTAATCCCAGCACTTTGGGAGGCCGACGCGGGCGGATCACGAGGTCAAGAGATCAAGACCATCCTGGTCAACATGGTGAAATCCCGTCTCTCCTAAAAAAATGCAAAAATTAACTGGGCATGGTGGCACACGCTTGTAGTCCCAGCTACTCGGGAGGCTGAGGCAGAAGAATTGTTTGAACCCAGGAGGCGGAGGTTGCAGTGAGCTGAGATCACACCATTGCACTCCAGCCTGGGTAACAAGAGCGAAACTCCGTCTCAAAAAAAAAAAAAAAAGAATTCAAACAATGTTTACTCAATGAATGAACGGTAGCAGGGGAGTCTAAGCAAGATCCTAAAATACATCCACTGCTAGTATACAGATATGTCTGATCTGTCTAGCAAATTAATTGAGTATATAATAACTCTGTGGCTTCTTGGGAGAACATTTATGCTGTACAAGAGAAAGAATCAGGCAGATAAGTTGGACTCCTAAAAATCTAATTATGAGAAAAGGTAGTAGATTCTGAGGACAACATGGTATTTGCTACTCAATTTTGCCTTTCATGAACTCATGTCTAATGCCTCACTGTAGGAGTAGGAGAAAATAGAGTTATTTTGCCAGAAATGTATTTCTTCACAAATATTCTTTGACTTACACTGACTGAGAATACCTTCTAAATCCATCATGTAGTCAGAGAATTGAAGATGAGAGCCAGAAATAAAATGCAGAATTTTGGGTCACTTTCTTTTACAGTTTCTCTGATCATCTGTCTACTTTTTAATTAAGGACAGTATATTTCAGTACATGGATACATGGGCTATGTAATCAAACAGGCTTCAATTTAACTTTAGTTCTGCCATTTAAAGTTACATGACATGGAATATTTTATTTATCCCCTTTAACCCTTGGGTTTTTCACTGATAAAATAGATATAACAATATTAACTATGCAAAGCTTGCTGTGAAGATTAAATAAGTTAGTGCATACATAGTAGGTAGTAAAAGATTTAGCTTATTAAAAAAACCAACAACCTTCAAATAGGTTACACCAAAATATAACACTTCTTGGAGTTTTTCATGCTAATTTGTCTTTTCTTTATACCATAGCCTAGTCTGAATTATTAGAATACTTTTCTAGTGAAGAGTTATATTAAAGGTATACTATATTTTTTTACTTACTGGACTATATCATACTGTCCAGGACCAGGACTTGACTTTTTAGATAACTCTTGTCTTCCTGAAGAGTTGCCAAAATGTATGCCTTTGTATTTCAAAGTTGCATTGGAAACACCCTAAAAAATAAAAAGTTTTCAAAAGTGAGGATGAAACATAGTTTAAATAAGCCATGAAACAATGTTTGGCTTTACCTAAGTCTAAATCTAAAGCAAGGATAGCCTCATTAAGGGGGTTCCACAGGTCAATAATACAGTGCTCCTTGAAATATCCCATCCCACTCCTGAGTCAGCTAGTTTTCCTGGAGAAGTACCTCAAACATTAGCATATTCTCAACTAATATGAACAGCTTTCCTCTTGACACCTAGTAATCTGAAACCTTAAGAAAAATTAAAATTAGCTCCTCATCATTTAAAAAAGAGAGAGGGGATAACACTACTTGGGAAATAGAAATACCTATTAAAAATTACCTCAACTAAATAGATTGAAAAAATGCAAACAGCACCAACAGTCGTTAGATAACTTCATATTAATGTAACCTTTACACACAGTTAGAAATACTTAACAATAAATTAAACACTAGCCTAAGTTCATTTTATTGTTAATGGTTAAAGACAGGATCAGGAAAAAAATTGCAAAGATGGCTCAATAGGAACAGCTGCAGAGTGCAGTTCCCAGCAAGAACAACACAGAGGGTGTGTGCTCAATGCATTTCCAAACAAGTTTTCACTGTCCACAGACCAGGAGATTCCAGGGCCAAAAGCACGATAAGTTTTCAGCATGGCTAATGACATGGGTTGGCGCACAGAAACTCACACAAATCTGGGCAGCCATTTCAACTGGCACCTGGAACGCCTGTGAGACACAGCCACCCTGGAACGCCTATGAGACAGATCTGGCTCAGCAGGTACCACCTCCACAAAACAAGCAATCTGAAATGATCTGGATTGAGAGTTTCACAGCAAGCGCAGCTCAACCCAGGACAGTCCAGCTCAGTGGGGGGAAGGGCATCCACTGCTACTGACGCAGTCTGCCAAAACCAAGGCAGTTCACACAGCAGCTGGGCAGAGCCTGCAGCAGCTCAGCAACACCTCTGCTAGCAGACTGTGACTAGACTACTCCATGTGGGGTAGGGCATCTCTCAAAAAAGGCAGCAGCACATCAGAAACTTATAAATAAAGCCAACCTTCCCAGGTCACAGCACCTAGGAAAAGAGGTGGATATGAGTTCCGCTGCAGCAGACTTAAAGTTACCTGCCAAGCAGCTCTGCATGGAACAATGGAGTTCCCAGCACAGCACTTGAACTTCGAGAAGGGACAGACTGTCTCCTCAAGCAGCTCCCCAACCCCCATATACCAAAGGAGACACCTCATAAAGGAGAACTCAGGCTGACATCTGGGGGGTATCCTTCTGGGACAAAGGTAACAGAAGAAGAAACCAGCAGCAACCCTTATTGTTCTGCAGTCCCCGCGGGCGATCACCAGGCAAGCGGGTCTGGAGTGGACCTCAAGCAGTCCTGCAACAGAGAAGCCTGTTAGAAGAAAAACTAAGAAACAGAAAGAAATAGCTTCAACATCAACAAAAAGGATGTCCACTCACAGACCCCATCCAACGGTCACCAACTACAAAGACCACAGGTAGATAAAGCCACTAAAATGGGGGAAAAAATGGCACAAAAAGGATGAAAACACCAAAAACCAGAATGCCTCTCCTCCTCCAAGGAATCACAAAATTTCTCAACAGCAAGGGATCAAAGATGGATGGAGAATGAATCTGATGAACTGACAGAGGCTTCAGAAGGTGAGTAATAATGAACTTCTCAGAGCTCAAAGAACATGTGCTAAGCCAATGCAAAGAAACTAAGACCCTACAAAAAGGTTAAATAAGATGCTAACTAGAATAAACAGCTTAGAGAAGAATACAAACAATATGATGGAGCTGAAAAACACAACACAAGAACTTCACAAAGCATACACAAACTTTAAAGGCCAAACTGACCAAGAAAAAAAAAAGGATATCAGAGACTGAAGAACAACTCAATGAAATAAAATGAGAAGGTAAGAATAGAGAAAAAAAGAGTGAAAAGAAATTAACAAAGGCTCCATGAAATATGGGATTCTGTGAAAAGGCCTGATCTACGTTTAATAGGTGTACCTGAATGTGACAGAGAGAGTGAATCCAAGCTGGGAAACACTCTTCAGGATATTATCCAGGAGAACTCCCCAACCTAGCAAGGCAGGCCACCATACACATCCTGGAAACACAGAGAACACCACAAAGATATTTCTCAAGAAGATCAACCCCAAGGCACATAATTGTCAGATTCACCAAGGTTGAAATGAAGGGAAAAATGCTAAGGGTAGCCAGAGAGAAAGATCGGGTTACCCACAAAGGGAAGTCTACCAGACTCACAGTAGATCTCTCCGCAGAAACTCTACAAGCCAGAAGAGAGTGGGTGTCAATATTCAACATCCTTAACGAAAATAACTTTCAACCAAGAATTTCATATCCAGCCAAACTAAGCTTCTTAAGTGAAGGTAAAATAAAATCCTTTACAGACAAGCAACTGCTGAGAGATTTTATCACTACCAGGCCTGCTTTACAAGAGCTCCTGAAAGAAGCACTGAACAAGAAAACAGCCAGTCCAAAAATGTACCAAATGGTAAAGACCATTGACATAATGAAGAAAATGTGTCAACTAACAGATAAAACATCCAGCTAGTATCAAAATGGCAGTTTCAGATCCACACATAACAATATTAATCTTAATTGTAAAGGGCTAAATGCCCCAATCAAAAGACATAGACTGGCAAATTGGATAAAAAGTCAAGAACCATGGGTGTGCTGTATTCAGGAAACCCATCTCATGTGCAAGAACACACATAGGCTCAAAATAAAGGGATGGAGGAAGATTTATCAAGCAAATGGAGAGCAAAAAAAACAGGAGTTACAATCCTAGTCTCTGATAAAATGGACTTTAAACCAACAAAGACCAAGAGACAAAGAAGAGCATTATATACTGGTAGAAGGATCAATGCATCAAGAAGAGCTAATGATCCTAAATATATATGCACCCAATACAGGAGCACTGAGGTACATAAAGCAAGTTCTTAATGACCTACAAAGAGACTTAGACTCCCACACAATAATAGTGAGATACTTTAACACTCCACTGTCAGCATTAGACAGATCAACAAGGCAGAAATGTAACATGGATATCCAGGACTTGATCTCAGAACGGGACCAAGTGGACCTAATAGACATCTACAAAAATCTCCACCCTAAATCCACAGAATATACATTCTTCTCAGCATCACATTGCACCTACTCTAAAATTGATCATATAATTGGAAGTAAATCACTTCTCAGCAAATATAAAGGAGCAGAAATCATAACCAACAGTCTCTCAGACTACAAGGCAATAAATTAGAACTCAGAATTAAGAAACTAACTCAGAACTGCACAACTTCATGGAAACTGAACAACCTGCTCCTGAATGTTGACTGGATAAACAATGAAATGAGGGCAGAAATAAAGATGTTCATTGAAACCAATGAGAACGAAGACACAACATACCAGAATCTCTGGGACACATTTAAAGCAGTCTCTAGAGGAAAATATATAGCAATGAGTGCCCACCAGAGAAGAGAGGAGAGATCTAAAATCGACACCCTATAATCAAAATTGAAAGAGCTAGAGGAGCTAGATCAAAAAAAAAAAAAAAAAAAAAAAAACAAAACTCAAAAGCTACAGGAAGACAGGAAATAACTAAGATCAGAGCAGAACTGAAGGATATAGAGACAAAAAAACCCTTCAAAAAAATCAATAAATCCAGGAGCTGGTTTTTTGAAAAGATCAACAAAATAGACAGACTGCTAGCCAAATTAATAAAAAAGAAAAGGGAGAAGAATCAAATAGATGCAATTTAAAAAAAAAAAAAGGGGGGGGGATATCACCACCAATTCCACAGAAATACAAACTACCATCAGATTACTACAAACAACTCTATACACATAAACAAGTAAACCTGGAAGAAATAGATACATTCCTGGACACTTGCACCCTCCCAAGCCTAAACCAGGAAGAAGTTGAAACTCTGAACAGACCAATAAAAAGGGCTGAAGTTGAGGCAGCAATCAATAGCCTACCAACCAAAAAAAAGCCCAGATCCAGATGGGTTCACAGCTGAATTTTAACAGATGTACAAAGAGAAGTTGCTACTCTGAAACTATTCCAAGCAATCCAAGAAAGAGAGAATCCTTCCCAAATCATTTTATGAGGCCAACATCATCCTGATACCAAAACCCAGCAAAGACGCAACAAAAAAAGAAAACTTCAGGCCAATATCCATGATGAACATCAATGCAAAAAATCCTCAATAAAATACTAGCAAACAGATTGCAACAGCACATCAAAAAGCTTCAAGTAGGCTTCATCCTGGGGATGCAAGACTGGTTCAACATACATAAGTCTATAAACGTAATCCACCACATAAACAGAGCCAAAGACAAAAACAAAATTATCTCAAGAGATGCAGAGAAGTCCTTCGACAAAATTCAACAGTCCTTTATGCCAAAAACTCTCAATAAACCAGGTATCAAAGGAACATATCTCAAACTAATAAAGCTATTTATGACAAACCTACAGTCAATATCATACTGAATGGGCAAAAACTGGAAGCATTCCCTTTGAAATCCGGCACTAGACAAGGATGCCCTCTCTCAACACTCCTATTCAATATAGTATTGGAAGTTCTAGCCAGAGCAATTAGGCAACAACAAAAAAAACAAAGAATATTCAATTAGAAAAGGAGGAAGTCAAATTGTCTCTATTTGCAGATGACATGATTGTATATTTAGAAGACCCTATCATCTCAGCCCAAAATCTCCTTAAACTGATCAGCAACTTCAGCAAAGTCTCAGGATACTAAATCAATGTGCAGAAAGCACAAGCATTTCTTTACATCAATAACAGACTAACAGAAAGCCAAATCATGAGCGAACTCCCATTGACAATTGCTACAAAGAGAATAAAATACCTAGGAATACAACTAACCTCTTAGGATGTAAAGGACCTCTTCAAGAAGAACTACAAACCACTGCTCAACAAAATAAGAGAG